CGTATACAGATTGCAAGACTGGTCAAACAGGCAGTTATTGAACTTCAACCCAGCAAGAAAAATGCTAAGAAAATCGGGGAAGGAGAGAGGAAGCCGTATACAGAATCTGGCGAATAAAAGTAGATTCAAAACTCAGATAAAATAAAGGATCTATATGTAAGCACTGCACTCAGTATTCGCAGTAAGTGGCCGCCAGCTGAATTATCACGATGGAGTATGTATGTGTATGTGTGCGTGTGTGATGAATTTAAGAACAGAGTTTAGGTACCTTAAGAAACGGTCGTTCAGTACCTTGTTTATGAGGTGTGTCAGAATTAACTCGACAGCAACATCAGCATTTAATCCTCAGCTGAACGAATAAGTTTAGAAACTAGAGAGATTTTAAGAGATACTCAGAGGACTCTGATGGGGCAGACGGAGATTATCAAAGGACCCCAATGGAAATAAGTCACTCTGTCTGACTTTTTTGGGTTATCCTAGGTTCTCTACACATATGCTGCTATGTATGATAATTCTATGTAACTGTATTTGTGTATACCTGAATAAACTTACTTACTTACTTACTGAAAGGAGATCTCATACAAAGGAGCACAGATCGAAGCTAAAAATGCTGATTAGTTATAGGGACGTCAGACAACATTTTAGTCTGAGGGTGTTTACGAAATAGAGCCATCGGGATGAAGAAGGGGCATTAGAAAAATTCATACATACTATATTTTAAGGTAGGTATAAAGGTTGAAGGTGTTTGAAGTGAAAAGTTCACTAACAAGAAACACAGATGGAAACTAAACACACGGGTGTGTTCGAAGGAAATACCTTTCATTAATCAAAGGGAAGCATACATGAATGTGACAGTGATGGAGGTAATCATTACGTAATTTTAAAAATAGTTGTCCTAGAGATCAAGTAGCCAGTCGATGAAGCTTAGAAGCGTGACCAGGAGTCAAGACACCCACCACAAACACAAATTGGCGAGCCCACATCAAAACAGCAAAAAACACTATCACTTTTCTGTGACGAAAAATTATGGTAAGGGAAAGGCATCTGTGTTTATAAATGGTAGCCTAGCAATAATTAGCGGGCAGAGAAAGGTATATATATATATATATATATATATATGTCGTGCCGAATAGGCAGAACTTGCGATCTTGGCTTAAATAGCAACGCTCATCTTGCCATATAGCACAAGTGAAAATTTGTGTATGCAATAATTTCGCAAAAATCATTCTGAACCTAACGAAAAAAATATATTTCATTGTGTTTGTTTAGTATTAAATTATTGTAAACTTATTTAAAATATATTTAGTTGGGTTAGGCTAAAATAAATTGCGCTTGTTATAATAAGGTTAGGTAAGTTTTCTAAGATTCTTTTGGTGCAAAATTATAAATTTTTACATCAACAGTAATGAAAAAAAATATATCTTTAAACGTATAAGAGAAAATTTTAGAAAGGACCTAATTTTAAATGATTTCTTCCTAATTGACCATTTTTACATATTCGGCACGACACACACACACACACACACACACATATTATATATATATATATATATTTATATATTATATATATATATATATATATATATATTATATATATAATATATATATATATATATATAATATATATATATATATATATATATATATAATTATGTCGTGCCGAATAGGCAGAATTTGCGATCTTGGCTTAAATAGCAACACTCATCTTGCCATATAGGACAAGTGAAAATTTGTGTATGCAATAATTTCGCCAAAATCATTCTGAACCTAACGAAAAAAATATATTTCACTGTGTTTGTTTAGTATTAAATTATTGTAAACAAATCTAAAATATATTTAGTTGGGTTAGGCTAAAATAAATTGCGCTTGTTATAATAAGGTTAGGTAAGTTTTCTAAATTCCTTTTGGTGCAAAATTATAAATTTTTACATCAACATTAATGAAAAAAATATATCTTTAAACGTATAAGAGAAAATTTTAGAAAGGACTTAATTTTAAATGAGTTCTTGCTAATTGACCAGTTTTACATATTCGGCACGACATATATTATATTATATTATATATATATATATATATATATATATATATATATATTATATATATATTATATATATATATATATATATATATATATATATATATATATATATATATATATATATATATATATATATATATATATATATAACCTAAGCATGTTGTTCATTTTCTTAATAGTAAGGTTGGGAAAGATTTATGTGACCGAGGTCTTCCACTGACTTCCGCACCGCCCCATTAAAAATTATGGTTATGATGAGTTAAAATTTTAATGCAATACTATGAGTTTTGTTGTACATGTTAATGTTACTGTTGTCATACACAAATGTTAATTACTAATATTTTTATTCATTATTATTATTATTGGGCAGACACTGGGAAAAACCATCAAAAACATGTCAAGAGTCGGAGAGACATTAATGTTATAAGAAACTGAAGAAGACGCGGCTGACATGAGGCTCCGGCTCTCTCTTACTCCAGGCTGAGATTCCTGTATTTATTTAATATTTGCTTTATTCACGAAAAAAGTTAAACCCCGTCGAGGTCATACAGCGTTGGAGGCTTTGCAAGAGGAAGAAATGCTATTATTAAAAAAAAATGGCTAGGCTCTTCGACCATGAACTGTGTGCGTGTGGCTTCTGAGGTGAAATGGTTAAAATGGAACCAGGTCATCACGTTTTTTGCGTTTTAGTGTGATTGTTACTCGTTATCTTTGTCTATAAATGTTGTTTGACCCATATAAGTTTGGCGCTTGTTTTCAAATAGGCAAATAATTCGTCAATAAACGGTTTTCGCTGTGCGAACAGCAATGCTGAGATTCATTTGCCAGCTGGCAACGCATGGACACAATAAGTGACATACGGCGGGATCGGGAGCTGGAACTTGTCTCTGAAAGCACACTGTCCTCTAACATCAGCACAGGAAGCCAACACTTGATGTTTCCATGATAGTCTGTGACTAATAATTTGTGTCTTGTGCTCACACCTCTCGAGCTGTGAGTAACATTTAACCCCCCCCCCCCAACTGGTCAACCCTAGAGAGGGTGTGGTAATGGTGGAAGGGATTTTATATTCAGCAAAACAGGATACATCTTCAATTTGCTGCTATATTATTATATATGATAGTTAACTGGAGCAAAAGCTTGGTGTTTTCCCTGTCGTATGTCATCACAGTGGATGATTTTCACATATAATGCTGAAATATGAGCGGGGAGACTTCGGGAGGGGACTGAGGATATCGTCAAGTGTTCCATTTAAGTTTCAACAGTTACGGGAGTTTTAATTGTTTCTTTCCAGCAAAGCTGGAGTTGCTATTACTCGGAATTTCCGTAACTCAGGATGGTCAATCGTATACAGAGAAGAAATGTGATAATTATGACATTGTCTTCATGACCACATTGAGGGTGCAACAAAACTTATGTAAAGGAGAAAAAATAAAAAGTAATTGGGGGAAGGATATCTGGACTGGATGGTATATCTACGAATACATTTATCTACACATAAAAACAAATTCATTGCTGTAGTAGTGATATATCACCTCCGCCCACACTGGTCACATCTCCCGTGGGTGTGGTGGTGGGCAGAAATATGTCAGCTGCACCCACACTGGTCACACCTGTGGGTGTGGTGGTAGGGACGAATATGTCAGCTCCGCCCACACTGGTCACACCTGTGGGTATGGTGGCGAGGAGGAATATGTTAGCTCCGCCCACACTGGTCACAACTCCTGTGGGTGTGGTGGTAGGGACGAACATGTCAGCTCCGCCCACACTGTCACATTCCCGAAAGGACCCGGCTGTCTCACCATAGCAAAAAAAAAAGGTCATAAAAATTAAATATTTCATTCCTTCGATCTATAATACAGACTAAATGTCTTTGGGCCTTAATATATAAAATACCCAGAGGATAATTACGTAATTTTGTCACAAAAATACTGAATCTTCATTGTTGAAGCTGTGAAGAAGGTATCAGAGAATCCTTAGAATGTCGAGTTCCTGAGAAAGTTACCACCGCAGACGAGGTAGGAGTTGCCCCTTGACCCAGCGTGCAGCGTAAGCTGGGATATACAACCGGTGGGGGAAGGAGGAGTTGGGAGGGGTCACATTGATGCCTGGAAAGAAAGTATTTTTACGAAGCTAAGGGAGAGAAGGTATATAAGGCGGGTGGCCGTGGACGGACACTATTCTCCACCATGCAGCTCCTGGTGAGTCCTGCCTTCCCTCACTCCCTCAGACTCTCATAGTATTCCGGAACTTGTTAGTTATAGTTGCTTCTAAGTCTTGAGTCTCTCATAGATTGTAGACCTACAGGATTCGTAAAGGCGTCTAGTCCACGCTCAGTGATCCATCCTGCCCAGCCGCCTGGTCTGGAATGCCATTAATGAGAAGAAACAAACACGGGAGAAACAAAACATTGCAGTCAAGATTCCTCGCGGAAGTAGTTTGTTTCTCTATATTGGAGACACTCATCTCCTGATTATTCTTGTTCTCTTGTTTTGTGACATTACTGTCAACTATTTAACAAAAGGGCCATCTTCAGTAAATAAAATTTATTAATTAAATTGATAATTGTAAATACTTTGCGTGATGTAAAAGTTGTGGTGACGGGGCAAATGTTTGAAAGGTTTGTGTTGTGGGAAGAGTATATATAGTTGAAAGGTTTGTGCTGTGCTGACTGTAAATAGTTGAAAAATTTGTATTACATCAATGAAAGTGGCTGAGAGGCTTGTGCTGTAACAACAAAAGTGGATGAGAGGCTTGTGGATAAGAAATGCGTGGTAGTATGGTAACACTTATAATGGCTGAGGGATTTATTTTGAGATATTTATGATGACTGAGGGATGACACTTGGTAATAAATGAAAGATTTGCATTTGAATAATAATTGTAATATTTATTATGTTTGTGGTGCTGTTTTTATTGATAATTATACTATGTTTAATTCGTAACTGCTAGTAGTAACTGAGACTTGTGGCTAATCTGCTACTGTTCTCCACAGATCTTGGTCTGTTTGTTAGTGGCTGCTGTAGGCGCCGAGCTTCAGGGCTACAGTCTACCCACCTCTTCCGGCCCAGGTTTGATCTCTGGAGGCTCCGGATTCTCTGGTGGTTCCGGGTTCGTCTCTGGTGGCTCCGGCTTTAGCGGCTCTGGGTTCTCTGGCGGTTCCGGGTTCACTGGCGGCTCTGGATTCGTATCTGGAGGTTCTGGATTCGTATCTGGCGGCTCCGGCTTTAGCGGCTCTGGGTTCATCTCTGGTGGTTCTGGGTTCTCAGGCAGCTGTGGTGGCGGACAGATTCGTCATGTAGACGGCAGCTGTATTACTCCCCAAATCACTAAAAATCTGTATGTATTCACCTCTCCTCCAGTTCATAGAACAATTGGTCCACGACCACATATTCCACCACCAAGAGTGGAACACAACATTTTATTCATCCGTACTCCTGAGGGAGGATTTGGGGTGGAACCAATCGTTGTTCCTCCACCACTGCAGAAGAACATCGTCTACGTGCTCAACAAGCGCACCCATCAAGGTCAACAAGTCGTCCACGTCCCAGCTCCTGAGCAACAAACTCCTCAAGTGTATTTCGTCAACTATGCTGATGGTGACAACCCGACTTTGCCCACTGGAGAGGACCTCCAGTCTGCCCTCAGCTCTGCCTCTCATGGTGGAGGTGAGGTTATCGGTACCGGTGGTGGCATTGGAGGAGGGGTTGGTATCGGGATTGGAGGTGGCTCTGGTATTGGGATTGGTGGTGGCATTGGAGTAGGCGCTGGTATCGGCATTGGTGGTGGCATTGGAGGCGGTTTTCAAGATGACAGTTCCTTTGTGAGCGGGGGAGGCAGTGTAGGAGTTCCCGCGCCGTCTAGTGTGTACGGGACGCCCTAACAGCTACTTGCAAGTGACGAGTCTTCACTAGCAACAATCATCCTTCCAGTAACAATTTTTTATTTCTTTATCTTATGTTACAAATACGCATGTAATTTCCAATGTAAGGCAATGGATATACTAGGAAACTGTTAATAAAATACATAAAGAGTAAGGTTTTTACTTTTGCAAAGACACGTTGAAGAGCCTGACCCCAGGTGTTCCCCATTCTTAGTGAACTGAAGAGCCTGACCCCAGTTGTTCATAGTGAACTGAAGACCTTTTCATGTGCATGGCGTCACTTGGTGGCAATAAAACACTAACATATGAATATCAGTCAGAATGCCTAAACAGATTTAGAAGGTTGATCTCATCAGAGCTGAATACTCTGAAGGACGGTCAACTGGAATATCTGACAGAAATGATGCATGTTTCCCTTCAATAACATAGTTATGTAGTTTTCAGTAAACACTCTGGTCAAAATAATTATGGCACCAACTACTGAAGTAAAAGAGAACACACATTTCAAATAAATAAATATACACACCTTTAAGGATCAGTCATGCTAGAACAAGATAAAGTCTTTCGTTATCCTGATAAAATTTCTTTTCTTGAAAAGTAATGAATGTTGACAAATGTTTACAACATATTCAGAGTGAAGCCACTAAGAAAAAGTAATACATATGAGATTATTTTATGTCACTCATTTGAAAGGATCTTTGGAGGACTTAAATCTGGCATTTTAAGAAATTAAATACTTAAATGAGAAGTGGAAGCGTCAAGCAGCGTAGGGGAAAGGAGGGAGGAGACACGGTGAAGTGGTGGCCAGACAGGAAGGAGAAATATGGCTGTAAGCAAGTGAGTCATAATCAAGTAGAAGGCAGGCTGGTCACATAGTGAGCAGCACTCCTGGGCAAGCAATGAATGGTGAAGGTATGGTAGATGATACCAGGTGGAGGGTGAGGCGGCGCAGAGTGAAAGTATGAGGGAGCTTGAAGCGAAGGGTGAGGGTCACTTACTCGTGAACAGTATATTTAAAAAAAAATAATAGGCACATCAAAAACAAAGTTGCTCCATCAATACTGAGTGAAGAGCCGGAAAAAAAGTCCTCACTTTTTTATCTTCAATAATATTTTCATAGATAATTTTAGAGGGACTAAAGCAGAAGGGTATGGTTAAAGGCACAGGAAGTAACAGATTCCATGAAGTGTTTAATTAATGAAACAACGAAACAATATGGCTGTCTACTCTTTGCATTGAAAAGAGAAGTTCAATATGTGTTAAAAGGTAATACTTTGTGAGTACTACGTTAACGTATATAAAGAGAACGTACACAAATCACAAGCTTCTAAACGGGGAAAGTTTTTGTTTACATTTATTAAGTTTCAGCGAGGATGTATGTTGACTTATACATTGTTTCTTGTCTTGAAGGAAAAATAATTTTTGCAAAGCTTTTTTCAGTAATAACTTTACGAAGATGTGTTGAGCTTTGCCCAGACAAGACCTCAGCAGTTAAAAACTACAGGAAATGGCAAATCACTTATTGTTAATGATCTTTTAAACCTTTGAGGCTTTAGCCACACTTTGCACCTGATAGATGAATTAGTTGACATTTGATAAGTTTGTAACCTAGTGAATCACCAGCGTCTGTCGAGGTAATGATAATATACTTGAGTTTTTTTGAGATTATATTTACAAGTTGCTTATTTAGGTGGTTAGCTGCATGATATGATTATGATCTGTGAAATGACTGCAATATCTTAATGATGCATGTAACTATGTCCAGTGTGACCAGACTGGACCTCGCCCTGGCGGTACCTAGGCCAGACGGGACCTTGGCGAGACGGGATCTCAGCCAGAGGAGACCTCGACCAAATGAGTGACCTCACCCGGAAAGGTCCTCAGTTATTATAATCAAGCTTCATTTGTCCACCGCTCACTTGGCTCTGGTGAATGTAAAGAACAAGAACAAAATGATGTAATTGCCACATATATTCTAAGAGTATACCTTTCTTCAGCGTTAAGGTATATTTGTTCAGTTGATTATGATTTTTATGTATCTGTCTAATGTTGCAGCATCCACGTGAAGCCTATTAAGTCCAGTTCCTTAGCACGACTTCTTCAGGATACTGGTGTATTTGCATGATATTAGTGCAACAAACAATTTGATATAATTTGTGTCAGAAATGTAGACTACGAGACAGAGAACTTCCCGGGAAGTTGCCTGGGTATGCAGTGTATGACAAGGTCAACTAACTGTTGTATGAGTGATGTTAGAAAGAAGTCGAATAAACATGTAATATTATGGTGTTAATTTGTTAAAATATGTGCAGGCAATGTCATCACAAAACTTCTTTAATATTTACACTTCAGCTAATCAGTTTTAACCTAATGTTTTACCAGATCATATAAATAGTGAACTCTCCCTCATATTGGAATTGTCCATCATATTCGAGAGTTAATAACAAATACTAATGAAACTAAAGCAGGTAAATTCCTAAATGAACATGAGGACTAGAATAGTGGATACTGTTGAGCTTATTCATATACTGTGACATGTAATAGGTAAGCCTCAGAGTGAATGCATCATATACAATACATGACTTTATGATAGTTGATGATCTTTCATCTGATCACTTTCCAAGACTCACAATCGTTAATGCTGATCATTTCTAGCAACTAAGGAGTTAAGTTCAAAGATAAAAACTTATTTTTATATAGATCAAATAAATGCATTTTCAGTGACTATATATAACCACAATGATAGGGGAGATACTATATAACTACTCAATACTTCATCTCAATGATTTGATACTTCTGTCAAGCCTTTATTGTCAACAGCACATTTCACATATGGGAAGAACAATGGACCAGCCTAAAGTACATGATCCAGAGTGCCTTCTGAACTGCCTGTCACCGAGCCATCCTCCTGTGTTCCTTCATAATATCATGCACTTTCACCTCAATGTATATTCTTGAAAGTTTACAGAGGAGAAAAAAAAAGTCGTTACTGCACTAAATCACATATACACATTCATAAGCTCATTTATGTATGAGTCTATCTCTTCATATATTTATAAAAAGAGTTGAGACATGTTATATATTTCAACTCCCAATCTTTTTAGTTTTAGAACCATGTATTTTCACAAAATCCACAAAGTGGATTTGTCACTATCCTTTTGTTTTCCCTTCTTCCCTTATTTAGACTTTGTCTCCTTACCATGTACTATGGTCACTAAACTTTGAATCATTGAAACTCGAATCATTCAGTAGAGCGGAAATTCAGTGTGAGAGACTTGGGGGTCACAATGTAAGGGATCTTCCATTCAAGGATGACAACATTGCTGCTATACACACTGTAAGGAAAATAATAGGCTGGATAACTAGAATATTCAGTACAAGAGTTGCTGAGCCGGTGATGATTCCCTTAAAGTTACGTGTTCTCACTTGGTTGGAATATTTATGTATATTAAGGCCACTTTCAAGGCATGAGAGATTACAGAGCTGGAAAACATTTAGTTAAGCATGTATATTACTGAGAGCTCTTGAAATCCCTTAAACTGTATTCCTTGACACACAGGCAAAATGGTACATCATAATTTACACATGAAAAATCCTGGAGGTACTAGTCCTCCATATGAAAGAGATGTTGCAGACGGCGCAATATACCTTCAATGAAAAGCAGGGAGCGAGATGCGTACACTAAGATAAAAGTTAATAGATATAAAGGTGTCTCTTATGCACCCTTCATGTAACGAGGGAATTACCAACTAACTTCTGACTGTCTTCAAAAGGGGCCTTGATAAGTTCTTCAAGCCAGTTCTTGATCAGCTAGACTGTGTTGCATACTGAACTGCATGTAATTGGCGCCAACAGTCTGGAAGATCATTAGGCTTCTTCTCGAGCAGTGTACTGCTCCATTTGAATCTAAATGAGATTTTTTTTTCAAATCAGGACAGTTTTTCTGGCACTCATCGTGTCAGGAAGTGCCTTTGTCCGGGTCACCCAATGTTAGAAAACAAAACATGTGTTGTTAGGGTACATATATAATACTACATTCACATATCTCAAAGTTGTCACTTCAAAAATGCTTATATATCGATACTGATTCTAATCTTAACTAAAAAATGAAGGTTTTCGTCATACATTCTCGCCGACAATCACCAGATGTAGGTAGTTTTTAGTCTTTGTTTTAGGAAAGTAAAGTGAATAAAATATAGCGTTTGGTGGATGATAACAAATAACCGGTTCTTTTTATGTGATTTTGTGGTGGTTGACTCGAGCACTAAGAGCTTGTTCCTGTTTGATTCGCCGGTACAGTCCCGGCCTGAGTCGTGTCTCTGTGGTGACCCGGTAAACTATCGGTCGTCCCTTAAAGCTTACACCTTCAGTGGGCTTAGTGGTGGTTGTGGGTGTATTGGTGTTGTGGGACGTAGTGGTGGGGTAGTGGCAGTGGTAAAGGGACACCGGTTACACGACTCAAGAAATCGTAATGACACGATTGCAAACAAACCATACCCCCGGCCGGGATTGAACCCGCGGTCATAGAGTCTCAAAACTCCAGCCCGTCGCGTTAGCCACTAGACCAGCTAGCCACAATAAGATTCATCCAACTAGGTATATTTCTACACCATAGGAAGGTTAGCACAGGCACCTCTGTGACCACAAATGCAAGTTTTTACAGACGAATCTCCAGCTAGCGTGGCCGTGACGAACTCTAGCTCAAGTCCCTTCACTGCCGTCAACATGACTCAAGAAATCGTAATGACACGATTGCAAACAAACCATACCCCCGGCCGGGATTGAACCCGCGGTCATAGAGTCTCAAAACTCCAGCCCGTCGCGTTAGCCACTAGACCAGCTAGCCACAATAAGATTCATCCAACTAGGTATATTTCTACACCATAGGAAGGTCATTACGATTTCTTGAGTCATGTTGACGGCAGTGAAGGGACTTGAGCTAGAGTTCGTCACGGCCACGCTAGCTGGAGATTCGTCTGTAAAAACTTGCATTTGTGGTCACAGAGGTGCCTGTGCTAACCTTCCTATGGTGTAGAAATATACCGAGTTGGATGAATCTTATTGTGGCTAGCTGGTCTAGTGGCTAACGCGACGGGCTGGAGTTTTGAGACTCTATGACCGCGGGTTCAATCCCGGCCGGGGGTATGGTTTGTTTGCAATCGTGTCATTACGATTTCTTGAGTCATGTTGACGGCAGTGAAGGGACTTGAGCAAGAGTTCGTCACGGCCACGCTAGCTGGAGATTCGTCTGTAAAAACTTGCATTTGTGGTCACAGAGGTGCCTGTGCTAACCTTCCTATGGTGTAGAAATATACCTAGTTGGATGAATCTTATTGTGGCTAGCTGGTCTAGTGGCTAACGCGACGGGCTGGAGTTTTGAGACTCTATGACCGCGGGTTCAATCCCGGCCGGGGGTATGGTTTGTTTGCAATCGTGTCATTACGATTTCTTGAGTCATGTTGACGGCAGTGAAGGGACTTGAGCTAGAGTTCGTCACGGCCACGCTAGCTGGAGATTCGTCTGTAAAAACTTGCATTTGTGGTCACAGAGGTGCCTGTGCTAACCTTCCTATGGTGTAGAAATATACCTAGTTGGATGAATCTTATTGTGGCTAGCTGGTCTAGTGGCTAACGCGACGGGCTGGAGTTTTGAGACTCTATGACCGCGGGTTCAATCCCGGCCGGGGGTATGACCGGTTACACCTCCAGGAGGCAGCAGCTACCCCACTGTAAACAATAGCTTCGTAAATTATAGAAGACCATATTATAGGTCGTCTTTTCTTTGCTAATTCTAATATTGCTCTTATGTATTCGGTTTTATTACATTAAATATCACGAGGAAAATTTTGTAGTTTTGGCTAACAAAGACTTAATTTTTCAAACTGTAAGGAAGTCACAGAGGTGTGAGAACGTGTGGTGTCTGAGACTAATTTACTCAGACTTAAGATTTTGATAATATGTTCCACAGATACAGGGAGTAAAAATTTATCTATTACCTGAGGAGATTTTGGAAACACTAGTTTTGAATAGCAAAACACTAAATTTCACCAGTTTAACTTTAAAGAGATGAAAGTAGAAACCTTTCCTAGTGGGTGTCAATGCCCCATAACCTAGCGTGCATCACATATATATGACCTGCTGGGTTAGTGGGGGTGCAGAGGTCACACTGATGCTTGAAAAGAAAGTAATTTTACCAGGCTAAGGGAGGGAAGGTATATAAGACGGTCTGCCGTTGAGAAACAATATTCCACCATGCAGCTCCTGGTGAGTCCTGACTCTCATTGGAACAATCCGTCTCTTGTTGTATTACGATACTTGTTCAAGTTATGTTCAAGCCTTGAGACTTTCGTAGGAGGCATTTAGTCTCCACCCAGTGATCTAGTTTGCAGAAGTGTTAGCGCAACCCAGCCACCAGGCCTGGGTTTAATAGTGACAAGAACAAATAACTTTAAAAGCAACAGTGAGAGAAACGAAGAAACATTTGTCAGGAAGTAACTTGTCGTTTGTTTTGCTTGACTTGTATCCGTTTGTGTCAATTTGTGATGTATATATATATATATATATATATATAATATATATATATATATATATATATATATATATATATATATATATATATATATATACACGAACGAGTGGCATTTAATCAATAAAAACACTGTGACTAGCTGGGGGATCGAACCCATGTTGTTTCAGCCCGCCTCATGGTGAGCGAAACTTCACTCTAACCCACTGGGCCATCCAGTAGCAATAGATGGTCCAGTGTTTTAGAGCGTCGTGAATTTTCGCTCACCATGTATGTGTGTGTGTACTCACCTATTTGTGGTTGCAGGGGTCGAGTCATAGCTCCTGGTGTGTGTGTGTGTGTGTGTGTGTGTGTGTGTGTGTGTGTGTGTGTGTGTGTGTGTGTAATAGAAGGCACGGGGGATGGAAATATTCAGGTCAGCTTAAGATTTCCAACAGTACTTATTTAGCTGCCTTCAGTACAGCTATGAACTATATTGTGATAACATATATAATGGAGATATTTATATTGCTCTTCTGATTAAGATTTCGAAAAATGTGCTGACGGTACCATCACATTAACAAATGTTAAGATTTCTGAAGTGTTAATGTATCGCTACTAATGATAGATATTTATGTTGATTTAATACTAATGTCTGTTATATTTGTTTTGTTGTGTTGTTATTGATAAAGATTTTACTTTTAAAAAGTAATTGCTGGCAGTAACTGAGACTTGTGGTTAACTTGTTTCTGTTCTCCACAGATCTTGGTTTCTTTGCTGATGGCCGCTGTAGACGCCGAGCTTAAGGGCTACAGTCTACCCACTCCCTCTGGCCCAGGTTTCATCTCTGGTGGCTCCGGGTTCTCTGTTGGTTCTGGGCTCTCTGGTGGCTCTGGGTTCTCTGGTGGCTCTGAGTTTTTTGGAGGCTCCGGATTCTCAGGTGGCTCTGGGTTCATCTCTGGTGCTTCTGGGTTATCCGGAGGATCTGGGTTCATTTCTGGTGGCTCTGGGTTCTCAGGCAGCTGTGGTGGCGGGCAGATTCGTCATGTAGATGGCAGCTGCATTACTCCCCAAATCACAAAAAATCTGTATGTATTCACCTCCCCTCCTGTTCATAGAACAATTGGTCCACGACCGCATATTCCCCCACCAAGAGTGGAACACAACATTATATTCATCCGTACTCCTGAGGGAGGAATTGGGGCGGAACCCATCGTTGTTCCTCCACCACAGCAGAAGAACATCGTCTACGTGCTCAACAAGCGCACTCATCAAGGTCAACAAGTAGTCCACGTCCCAGCTCCTGAGCAACAAACTCCTCAAGTATACTTCGTCAACTATGCTGATGGCGATAATCCCACGTTGCCCACAGGAGAGGACCTCCAGTCTGCCCTCAGCTCTGCCTCTCATGGTGGAGGTGAGGTTATCGGTGCCGGTGGAGGCATTGGAGGAGGGGCTGGGATTGGCATCGGAGGTGGCTCTGGTATCGGGATTGGTGGTGGCACTGTAGGCGGTTTTCATGATGACAGTTCCTTTGTGAGTGGCGGTGGCCTTATTGGAGGCGGAAGTACCTTTGTGAGCGGAGGTGGCAGTGTAGGTGTTCCCACGCCGTCTGGTCTGTATGGGACGCCCTAAGTAACATTAATTTGCAAGTTGATGAGATACTTCATTTGCAACACTCTTCCTTCCAGCAACAATTTCTTTTTTTTTTTTTTGTTTTTTGTTTTTTACAAATTTGTATGTAATTTTCAATGTAAATAAAACAACTTATGTACTTGGAAACTGTTAATAAATAAAATACATACCAAACAAGTTTTCACTTTTCGAATGACACACTGAAGAGCTGGAACCGAGGTGTTCCCTCATGCTTAGTGAATTAATGAGCTATACCCAAGGTATTCGTGCTTAGTGCATTGAAGAGCTATATCTCTGGTGTTCCTCATTCTTAGTGCACTGAAGAGTTGGACCCCAGGTGTTCTTGTTTACTACACTGAAGAGCTGGACCCCAGGTGTTCTTCTTGTTTACTACACTGAAGAGCTGGACCCCAGGTGTTCTTCTTGTTTATTACACTGAAGAGCTGGACCCCAGGTGTTCTTGTTTATTACACTGAAGAGCTGGACCCCAGGTGTTCTTCTTGCTTAGTGCGCTGAAGAGTTGGACCCCAGGTGTTCTTCTTGTTTACTACACTGAAGAGCTGGACCCCAGGTGTTCTTCTTGCTTAGTGCGCTGAAGAGTTGGACCCCAGGTGTTCTTCTTGCTTAGTGCACTGAAGACTTGGACCCCAGGTGTTCTTGTTTATTACACTGAAGAGCTGGACCCCAGATGTTCTTGTTTATTACACTGAAGAGCTGGACCCCAGGTGTTCTTCTTGCTTAGTGCGCTGAAGAGTTGGACCCCAGGTGTTCTTCTTGCTTAGTGCACTGAAGAGTTGGACCCCAGGTGTTCTTTTGGTTTACTACACTAAAGAGCTGGACCCCAGGTGTTCTTTTTGCTTAGTGCACTGAAGAGCTGGACCCCTGGTGTTCTTCTTGCTTAGTGCACTGAAGAGCTGGACCCCAGGTGTTCTTCTTGCTTAGTGCGCTGAAGAGTTGGACCCCAGGTGTTCTTGTTTACTAAACTGAAGAGCTGGACCCCAGGTGTTCTTCTTGTTTATTACACTGAAGAGCTGGACCCCAGGTGTTCTTGTTTATTACACTGAAGAGCTGGACCCCAGGTGTTCTTCTTGTTTACTACACTGAAGAGCTGGACCCCAGGTGTTCTTCTTGCTTAGTGCGCTGAAGAGTTGGACCCCAGGTGTTCTTCTTGCTTAGTGCACTGAAGACTTGGACCCCAGGTGTTCTTGTTTATTACACTGAAGAGCTGGACCCCAGGTGTTCTTGTTTATTACACTGAAGAGCTGGACCCCAGGTGTTCTTCTTGCTTAGTGCGCTGAAGAGTTGGACCCCAGGTGTTCTTCTTGCTTAGTGCACTGAAGAGTTGGACCCCAGGTGTTCTTTTGGTTTACTACACTGAAGAGCTTGACCCCAGGTGTTCTTTTTGCTTAGTGCACTGAAGAGCTGGACCCCTGGTGTTCTTCTTGCTTAGTGCACTGAAGAGCTGGACCCCAGGTGTTCTTCTTGCTTAGTGCGCTGAAGAGTTGGACCCCAGGTGTTCTTGTTTACTACACTGAAGAGCTGGACCCAAGGTGTTCTTCTTGCTTAGTGCACTGAAGAGTTGGACCCCAGGTGTTCTTCTTGCTTAGTGCACTGAAGAGTTGGACCCCAGGTGCTCTTCTTGCTTAGTGCACTGAAGAGTTGGACCCCAGGTGTTCTTCTTGCTTAGTGCGCTGAAGAGCTGGACCCCAGGTGTTTTTCTTGCTTAGTGCACTGAAGAGTTGGACCCCAGGTGCTCTTCTTGCTTAGTGTACTGAAGAGTTGGACCCCAGGTGTTCTTCTTGCTTAGTGCGCTGAAGAGCTGGACCCCAGGTGTTTTTCTTGCTTAGTGCACTGAAGAGTTGGACCCCAGGTGCTCTTCTTGCTTAGTGTACTGAAGAGCTGGACCCCAGGTATTCTTCTTGTTTACTACACTGAAGAGTTGGACCCCAGGCGTTCTTCCTGTTTACTACACTGAAGAGCTGGACCCCAGGTGTTCTTCTTGCTTAGTGCACTGAAGAGTTGGACCCCAGGTTTTCTTGTTTACTACACTGAAGAGCTGGACCCCAGGTGTTCTTCTTGCTTAGTGCACTGAAGAGCTGGACCCCAGGTGCTCTTCTTGTTTACTACACTGAAGAGTTGGACCCCAGGTGTTCTTCCTGTTTACTACGCTGAAGAGCTGGACCCCAGGTGTTCTTCTTGCTTAGTGCGCTGAAGAGTTGGACCCCAGGTGTTCTTCTTGCTTAGTGCACTGAAGAGCTGGACCCCAGGTGTTCTTCTTGCTTAGTGCGCTGAAGAGTTGGACCCCAGGTGTTCTTGTTTACTACACTGAAGAGCTGGACCCCAGGTGTTCTTCTTGCTTAGTGCACTGAAGAGTTGGACCCCAGGTGCTCTTCTTGCTTAGTGCACTGAAGAGTTGGACCCCAGGTGTTCTTCTTGCTTAGTGCACTGAAGAGTTGGACCCCAGGTGTTCTTCTTGCTTGGTGCACTGAAGAGTTGGACCCCAGGTGCTCTTCTTGCTTAGTGCACTGAAGAGCTGGACCCCAGGTATTCTTCTTGTTTACTACACTGATGAACTGGACCCCAGGCGTTCTTCCTGTTTACTACACTGAAGAGCTGGACCCCAGGTGTTCTTCTTGCTTAGTGCACTGAAGAGTTGGACCCCAGGTGTTCTTCTTGCTTAGTACATTAAGAGTTGGACCCCAGGTGTTCTTCTTGCTTAGTGCACTGAAGAGCTGGACCCCAGGTGCTCTTCTTGTTTACTACACTGAGGAGTTGGACCCCAGGTGTTCTTCCTGTTTACTACGCTGAAGAGCTGGACCCCAGGTGTTCTTCTTGCTTAGTGCACTGAAGAGCTGGACCCCAGGTGTTCTTCTTGTTTACTACACTGAAGAGCTGGACCCCAGGTGTTCTTCTTGCTTAGTGCACTGAAGAGTTGAACTCCAGGTGTTCTTCTTGTTTACTACACTGAAGAGCTGGACCCCAGGTGTTCTTCTTGTTTACTACACTGAAGAGCTGGACCCCAGGTGTTCTTCTTGCTTAGTGCACTGAAGAGTTGGACCCCAGGTGTTCTTCTTGTTTACTACACTGAAGAGCTGGACCCCAGGTGTTCTTCTTGCTTAGTGCACTGAAGAGTTGGACCCCGGGTGTTATTTTTGCTTAGTGCACTGAAGAGTTGGACCCCAGGTGTTCTTCTTGCTTAGTGCACTGAAGAGTTGGACCCCGGGTGTTATTTTTGCTTAGTGCACTGAAGAGTTGGACCCCAGGTGTTCTTCTTGCTTAGTGCACTGAAGAGTTGGACCGCAGGTGTTCTTCTTGCTTAGTGCACTGAAAAGTTGGACCCCGGGTGTTATTTTTCCTTAGTGCACTGAAGAGTTGGACCCCAGGTGCTCCTCATTCTAAGAACACCGTCTATTTTACGATCTGCATTGCGTCATTAGATGACAATAAAGCATTAAGGGATGAATGCCAGTCATAATAGCTAAACTTACTTTGAAGGTTGATCTCGTCAGTGCTGATTAATAATAATAATAATAATAATAATAATAATAATAATAATAATAATAATAATAATAATAATAATAATAATAATAATAATAAATATTATTATTATTATTATTATTATTATTATTATTATTATTATTATTATTATTATTATTATTATTATTATAAATTTATTTCAGCACCATACGTGTTTATACAAAGGAGTATAACAACTGGGCGTACATGCCAAAAGTTCCTCTATATGCAAAGCTTTTGGGGCAATAACAGTAATTTTGTACATATGGTAATTAGATGAGTTACGATGGATACAAGAGAAGTGAATAATCTATTAATTTATGCCATTAGCCTTTAATAAGTTTGGCAGAGAGGAATTACAGGTTTGATTATAAACCTATGGCGGACATAATGGAATGATTAACATTTGAGAGGATTACAGATATTGAGAATAAGTATATATTGATTATAATGTGTTACCTGAGTTCATGATATTGAGCAAATGCATGTATGGTTTTTACATAAGTATTTATGATGGACTGGGATAGGTTAAGAAGATAAGGTGTTTTTTAAGTGTGGTTTTAAAAATGCTACCTGAACCAGTGGTTCTGGAGATTTCTGGCAGAGAGTTTCAGATTTTGGGTCCTTTTATGTCAGCTGGGTCAAACTAGAAAAATCATGAATATACTTCCCTTCAAGTAACATAATTATGTAGTTTTCTGTAAAGATGCTGGTCAAATTAATTATGGGTCCAACTACTGAAGAAAATGAGGGTCACGTTGGGGAGCTATGCCGCTCTTCACACGCTGGTTCGAATCCTGCTGGCCGTGATCTTTCTCTGTACATAATTCAGCTTGTTTTTCCGTGGTGCATTGATATATATATATATATATATATATATATATATATATATATATATATATATATATATATATATATATATATATATATATATATTATATATATATATATATATATATATATATATATATATATATATATATATATTCTTAGAAAACTTCCCCTCACTCCTTCAGTTGCAGAATTACAACATTGCACAGCTCCTAATGACGCACTGAGAAGTGTGAAAGTACTTGAGCTAAAGATTTCCACCCCTCCCGTATATATATATATATATATATATATATATATATATATATATATATATATATATATATATATATATATATATATATTAATTGAATGTCTAGCGGCTGCAAGAAAACAACGTAGACTTCAGCCATAGACATTTACGTATCAAGTAGCTGGCTATAACATATTCAGAGTGAAGCCAATAAGAAAAAGTAAGACATACGGGTTTTTGTATGTCAGTCATTTTAAAAAGTATCTTTGGAAGACTTAAATCTGGCATTTTAATAACTAAAATAATCACATGAAAAGTGGAAGTGCCAAGCAGCGTAGCAGGAAGGAGGGTGAAAATATTGTGAAGTGGTGACCAGACAGGAAGGAGAAAAACCTCTGCAAACAAGTGAGTCATGATCAAGTAGAAGGCAGTCTGGTCACATAGTGAGTGGTGCTCCTGGGCAAGCAATGAATGGTGAAGGTATGGTAGATGATACCAGGTGGAGGG